AATTGCACACCTAGACTTCTGGCAATAATTTTACTTGATTTGTACAGACAATATCTACTATCTTACAAAAATTCAGCCTTGCACCTGATCATTTTTTTTTCATCAAAATTTTGCATCTTTGATCGCCCTCCCCCACTTACGGTGACACTACATCCCTACATCCGATGAAAATCCGGTAAAATGAAAGCATAGTACAGATAACCGCCCGAATACGAAGAAGCAGGAAAGAAATTTTTATTTTCGAGCCCTTAATGAAAAAATGGTGGGGGAAAGCTACCCCATACCTTTGATAAATCATATTTTGGAAAGGTTAGGAGGAGCGCAATATTTTTCCGTTTTTGATCTAGCGATGGGTTATCACCAAATAGGGACAGCCGAAGAAGATCAACATAAAACGGCCTTTTATTGCTGTCGAGGACACTATCAATATAAAAATGCCAATGGGAATTAAAAATGCAGCGTCTACATTCCAAAGGCTCATGGATAATGTCCTGTCAGGATTACAAGGAGCAGAATTATTTGTTAACTTAAACGATATCATAGTGTTTTCAAATACATTAGAAGAACACGACAAAACAATATCACAATTGTTTGAGCGATTAAGAAAAGCAAAATTGGCATTACAACTAGAAAAATTCAAGATTTTCCCACTCCACAAAAACCCAAGGCAGTAAAAGGTTTCCTAGGCATAACAGGTTATTACAGGAGATTTATAAAGGACTACGCAAAAATATCAAAACCTTTATATAGCTTTTTAAAAAAGGATAAAATATTTAAGTGGGACACAGAAGAAAAACAAAGTTTTAAAAAACTTAAGAAAGCTTTGTGCAGCCCGGTGACACGAGTGAGTTGAAAATCACTTAAATGTTGAAAGTCGCCAACGCAGCGCTGAATGTACATTGGTCGGATATTAACCAAAATGCATGGGAAAGCACACAAAAATTTAATTTCCATATATAAAAATTTATTTAAACTTATTTATTTATACAAAATATTGATTTATAAACTTTTGAACATATTTCGTAATATAACTCACTTCAGAAAAGAGTGAAATTTTTTATTTATAACGAAAATTGTATTATAATTTCTGGCGGGAAATTTAAATAAAATAATATTGTAATTATTATTTATTAATATTTTTTAATTATTTAATAATTTTTTTGCAATATTAATAATTAGTATTAATAAATAATAAATAAATATTAATAAATAATAATGACAATATTATTTTGTTTGAATTTCCTGATAGAAATTATAATACAATTTTCGTTATAAATAAAAAATTTCACTCTTTTCTGAAGTGAATTATATTACGAAATATGTTTAAAAGTTTGTAAATCAATATTATGTATAAATAAATAAGTTTAAATAAATTTTTATATATATAGAAATTAAATATTTGTATGTTTTTCCATGCATTTTGGTTAATATCCGACCAATGTACAGCCAGCGCTGCGTTGGCGACTTTCAACACAAGAAAAGGACGGAATCGACTTGCCCGTAGCCTATTTTTCTTAAAAAAGTTTCCTATTTACTCTGATTGGAGCAGAAGAAAATTACTATACGACAGAAAAAGAATGTCTAGCAGTAATACAAGCCCTACAACATTTTAGACCCTTTTTATATAGTACTAAATTCATATTATCTTGTGATCACGAACTTTTAAAAATAATTAACAATGCGATTAAACCAACTATAAGGATGACGAAATGGTTGTTAAGATTACAAGATTATCAATACGATTTTGTGTGCAAGCCTTGTAAAATAAATCGTTGGTTGCCAGCCTTATCGGAAAATCCAGTAGGAAAAGCAGAAAGCAGTGTAAAAGAAGATGAAACTACCGACACGGATTCTAGCGAATTACAATCCTCGGAAAGTACGGAAGAGGAAGAAGAAATTCCAAGAAAAAAAGAAATTAAAGCATTCCCCTATAAGTATTGCCGCAGGAAAATAAAATAAAAATGCAGACGAAAAACTAGATAAAATTAATTGCTGAAAACAAAAAGAAAAAAGGAAATGTAGGAACTTTTAAAAATCAATCAAATATTCCTTTTAGAAGTAGGTCAAAATCAGATTCTACTATAAAGGAACAAAAGAAAGTAGGCCTATATGAGAAACCGAAAAGAGGGAGACAACCGGGAAAAAAAAACAAAAAATAATAGAAATAGATACAGATGACCGTGCCATTGTAAAAAGACTTAGGAGTCAAATTTCAAAACCCGTAGGAACGAATAATCAAACGGAAGATGTAGATATAATAGAACTTGATGACGTAGACGAAAATTGAACTTCAGAGGATAAAATAACCGAGGACACAGAACCAGCCTCTATATTAAGAAATCAATATAGTGTGTTACCTTCTTTAATAGATAAACCTTCAACATCAAAAGATTACTCTTCGGAAACTGAAGAAGAAGAAGAAAGTAGAGAAGAAAATATAAAAGAAGTTAAAGAAAATGAGATAGTCATACAAGTAGATCCCCCGAAGACAGCTCTTATAGTGAAGAGGAAAATTTTCAGGAAGCTGAGGAAACAGTGACAGATAGAAATTCAGGCGAGAATCAAGAAAATAGTGAATCTGAAGAAATAGAAAAAGATACTCTACAACCGGAAGAAGTAGATCAAGAAACATTAAATGGCGTTTTAGATTTAATAAGAAGATTTGACAAATCAATGGCAGATCACGATTTATATTTTTGGGACAACGAAATGTTCGAAAATAAAAAGAAAAATAAAAAACCACATGAAATATTAAAAACAGATGACGAACTCCCCGAGGAACACAGGGAAATAGAAGAAATCATAGAAGAATTGCGCGAAATAGCTGAAAAACTTCCAAAATATGACAACGAAATAGAAAAATGTCAAGAAAAACAACTAATAGAAAAAACAAAGAGAAAATCAGTTACTTTTGATACCCCTTTACGTTTTCAGTTACCTTAAGCTCGATCCACCCCCTATTTAAAAGATGTCATCCAAGACGAAACGGAAATAGAAACAGAAAGTGAAAATAGAAAAAAACACGTTATACCTAGAAAATTAGTCGAGACAGAAATGGACAAGACAGAAAAAGAAACACAACCTCAGCTAGAACTCGGTCTAGGAATTAGTATACTATACATCGAAAATAATTACCCGAAAATAGAGAAATTTACAGAATCTCCAACGGAAAATTCCCTAAACAAATTAGAGGTAGTACAGTACGACCGAGAACCAATCACTGTTGTTAGGGACAATTATGTACACTTCATGGCATCAGATTTGGAACCGAACGACTATACAGCAAAATTAATGATCGCTATAGGAGCAATAGGCTTGTTACAAATGAAATAGAGAAAGCCAAAAAAGAGGCAAATATTAGTCACTGAATTTGGGAAAATCAAAGTTTACACGGTAATAATTTCCAAAAATTATGACGACACCGTGAGCAAAAGTGAACTAGTGAACGCGTTGAACAATTTAAAAAACACCCTTCATAAAGACAATATTGAAGAACTAGTCTGTACCTAGACACGTTGAAATGTTAGAAGAATCAGATTTCGATTAGACAGATCAACTAGCAAGAGTTTTTCTAAAAGAAAATATTAGGATAGCCTTATGTTACGGGAAAACGATCATTTCTCCAGAAAATATCAGAGAGAAAATTATTGCAGAATATCACGATATTTTGATAGCAGGACACAAAGGAGTCAACAAAACGTATCATCGAATACGAGAAAAATTTACATGGCCAGGGTTAAGGCAGGAAATCACAGAATATATGGGTGATTCTTCTGAAAGTGACATTTTTGATGTCTCGATTAATTTTATAAAATCTACTCACTAATAATTGTTAATTATTTTCATAATAAAAATTTAGCACTTACTTTTCATTAAAAAAAAGAAATTAAACAATTTTATTCTACTGAATTTATACAAGAGCTAAAATAATTTCATCTCCGAAGCCTTTTTAGCATGTCTCCAATAGGACTTCTATAAGAAAACTAAATTTCTATGCTTTTTTCCAACTGTTAGAAATTTTTTTGAAAATATTGTCAGAAAGTACAATGTTTTTCTGTCATAACGTATTTTTTTTTAAATTTTAAGACCTCTGTTTTATATATGATAAAAATATTAAAACTTTGTCTTCGGTTTTAGGTTAAAATTACCTCACGATGATTAATGATATTTTTGTACATTAAAAGTATTCTTAATAAAATTTTAATGCATAATTTAATAAAGTTGAGAATCTGATGTTTAATTTGCCCATATATTATTTGTGAAAAGGAGAGGAATTATTCCTTCTATAAATAGTCAAATTTTACTTATTGTCCCGAGCAAAAATTCAATTTCATCTCCGAAGCCTTGCTCTTTATTAAATAATTGAATATACGAATAACTTTGACGAAATATTTTTTACTATAATATAAAATTGCGTTGTGAAATTTGTATATTTTATTAAAAAAATATATTTTAATTCCGCCCTAATGTGAATAAATGTGAAAAAAATTTATTTTTCATCTCCGAAGCTTTCATCTCCGAAGCCTTTTCCTTGAAATGGGCAAATTTTTCTTTTGTTTTTAGTATTTACCTGCATTAAATTGAAAATATTAACCTAAATAACTATCAAATTAATATATATATTTATTATTAAAATATGCAGATTATTATTTTTTAAACAGTGTAATTGTATTATGAATTAAGTGGATAATATTAGTGTATATATTTAATAAAAAAAATCTAACACGAAACAAATATAACCAATCAATTGATGCAACGCAAAGACAATCTTTTAAAAGAAGAAAAACTTTAATATTTTGAACAATTAATTTTGCGCAACTTGAATTCTTACTCCTGAGTACGAAATAAAGTAAGTTCAATAGAAAAAACCATATTATTTAAAAAAAAAATAAGTTAAAAAATCGAACTTCAAAAGTAGCACTTTCAGAAGAATCACCCATATAAGGAAATGTAGAAGCTGCGCACAGAAGAAAATTGTTAAAACTAAAAATAAAGAAGACATGGTGATAACTGATACACCATTGGACGCATGGGACAAAGTGTCCCTAGATACAGTAGGAAAACTTCCGACTACAGCTAATGAAAATTATCACATCTTAACAATGCAAGATCAGCTTAGTGAATATTGCATTTTTGTATCAATACAGGATAAAAATGCAACAACGATAGCAAATGCAATAGCTACTAACCTAATTTCAGTATATGGTGCACCCAAATGTCTACTGATAGACCAAGGAAGATCCTTCACAAGTAATTTATTACGACGACTAGAAAAATTATTTGAAGTAGCACAAGTTACTACTACTGCCTACCGCCCTTAAACAAATGGATCTTTGGAACGCAGTCATGCCGTTTTATCAGAATTTATTAGACATTACGCAAATGCCTTTGACGACTGGGACAGATTATTATTATTACCCTACGCCATGTTTGCCTATAAAAGGCATACTCTTGACAAAATGATAAAAAGGGTTTGAGAATAGATAAAGATGGCTATGTACATGTATATACTGATGGAGCTTGTAAGGCAAATGGTAAACCCAATGCACAAGCCGGAATAGGAATTTGGTTTAACCAAGAACATCCGCTAAACATCAGTGACAAGGCATGTAATAGATAAACTAATAATAGTGCCGAATTAAAAGCCATAATAAGAGCTATAAATATTTTGAAAAAATTAAAATATAAAAAATTAGGATACACACCGACTCTAAATTAGTAATATATGGGATAAAAAAGTGGTTACCGAAATGGGAAAATAGCGGTTGGAAAACATGCCGAAAACAAGAAGTCATAAGCAAAAAGGAGGTTGTAAAAATGAAAAATAGTATAAATAACCTAGAAGTAGAATTAATATACGAACCAGGACATAGTGGAATAATAGGAAACGAAGAAGCAGATAGATTAGCAAAATTAGCAATAGAAACTAACCAACAAATAAATATAAAAGATAGCTAAACACGTAATTTAATTTCGATTACAGAAATGGAGAACTATGTTAAAATATGTATCGTAATACTAGGAATGATCGAAGTAATAGGGACAAATGATATAGACCCTTTTATTTCAATAAAGACCCTAAGCAAAAATAAAGGAATATTTTATGAACTGATGCCAAATCTACAACGAATTTTAGGAACATGGAGAACAGTAGTTGTACTGGACACAGACACATTTAAAACACATTTACCTAATCTTGAAATAGAATATAAGAAAATGGAAACATTGTGTGAAAAAGCAATGAAAATAAGCTGCGAAGACTTCTTAGAATACCAGATGTTAAATAAAGAAATGACTGTAGCTAAACTACTTCGATAACAATTAATGGCACTCATACAAGAATTGAAACAAAAACCAAATGCAAATAAGGAACTCTCATTTCAAAATAGGAAAAAACGAAATACGCCATTAATAGGATTTATAGGAAAAATAGCAGGACCAACAATAGGAATTTTAACTTACGACGATGGAGAAAGATATGAACGACTTTTTACGGAACTAAAGGAGGCACAGAAAAACATATCACATTTATTCAAAGCCCTAGAAAAAAAATTGCACCCGAAACTACTAAATAACGAACAAATCAAAACATAAATTTTTAAAAAATCAGGAATGCTGTGTGCAACAGCCCTCCCCACTATTGATATTTTATAATATTCAGGGTGTGATCAATAATTGTTAACGAAAATCGAGACAGTTGTTATTGTCGTCTCCTGTGAGACAGTCAAATTGATTTTGGTTAATTTTCTATTAAAATCCAAAAGTGGAGTTTTCCTTATTTTGAGTAGTGTCCAACTTTCAAATAATTTTAGTATAAATTTTATAATTAATAATCATTTTGTTATTGTATTTAAAAACAAAAGTAAATTTAAAGCAATGAATTATAAAACAGTGTTCGGAAGAATTTTCTGATTGATTAAAATATATATTTTTTGTGTTTATTAAACTTAATTCAGATTTAAGTTCGGTGACCCCGAAATTTAAGTTTTGAGTTAAGGCTTTTTAAAAAATGAAACGAAAGGACATAATATCATCAAGGAATTTTATGTGAAAAAATTATAATTCATTGAGGAATAATTTTAACATATGATCAAGGAAAAGGAATTTACAAGACAAAAAGGGTTTCTATCTTTATAACAGGTGTGAATCATATAACACCTGACTCAACATTTTCTTATTATCAACTAAAATAAATATAGACTTGGTGAGTCGAGTTATTACTATTTATACTTATATATATATTAAATAAATACACAAATACACTATTATTATACACTTTTAATTAAAGAGACACTAATTGATAAACAAGTTGTTTTATTATCTAGGAGTAAAATTAATGTAAAGTAAATTTCAATAATGGGAAGGACACAAATTGTATTATAAAATAAACTTCAAATACATGAAGTTTTAAGAAATCAATCTTTTATATCGAAAAAGTACTGTTGTATTCATTAAACAATTTATTAATATGGAATAAACTTAATGTTATTATACTTGCATATATGTGTTTTTTTTTGCTGAGTGTATTTTTTTTATCCTTTATATTTTATTCTTCATAAATACCGTCTACCCGGAGACACTAAATAATAGTGGACTTTAGAAAAATAATCCACTACCTTTATTTAAATTAATAAACTTATTTTATTTTATTTAAGGAAAGAGTATAACGTTATCTAAGAATAAATTATTTCAATTTTAGCAAATTTTCAATAAAATGAGATTAAGTTAAATATCTACGTTATTAAATTTCTTTTATAACAAAGTTATTGTTTTATTAATTAATTAAAAATAATTAATTTATATCTAACAAAATTAATGGCAGCGGTGGGATTCTTTTCTTTTATTTATGGTAAAAAAATTTATAAAAAAATAACATAAAAAAAATATATATATTACATACATACAAACACTCTTATGCATTTAATATATACATACTTTAAACTGATTTATTGCTTCATAAATTTTAATTATTGTGAAATATTTTCTTGCATTTTTATATTTTCAGGATAACGGCATTTTAAGCCATTTTTGTAAAGTGCGGGTAGCTAGAAGTTTTTTTTTTACTCGCTAACGTCGAGTTTAGGGAACGGTAACCACCCTTGCGATCGGCAAGCACTGGTTTCCTCAATAAATCGGTCCCAATTCCTCGAATAAAAAAACAACTTTGTCGGAAGTGTGTAGTCACTTGGACAAGTGAGAGGTCTAAATAATTTTTTTTTTTAAATCTACAACGGTCGATAATGTGCTCTCGGGACTACAAGGCGCAGAGTTATTTGTGTATTTAGACGACATAATAGTTTTTTCAAACACTTTAGAAGAACATGACAAAACTATTGGTCGAATGATAGAAAAATTGCAGTTCGCAAAATTAGCCATGCAACCAGAGAAATGCGAATTTTTATGTAAAGAATTCGCGTACCTAGGACATATTGTAGGAGAAAACGGAATTAGGGCAGACCCTAAGAAATTAACAGCTATAAAAGATTTTCCTACTCCAAAAAATCAGAAATCTATCAAAGAATTTCTAGGTATTACCGGTTACTATAGGAAATTTATAGCCAACTATGCTAAAATAGCGTTGCCGTTATATAACTTGTTAAAAAAACATAACTTTTAAATGGGGAACCGAACAAAAACGTAGCTTAAAACAACTTAAACGAGCCTTGTGTAGGAATCCTATTCTACAACATCCACATTTTTCCAAAATTTTCAAACTAAAAACAGATGCTTCTGAATATGCAATTAGTGCAGTGATAACACAAGAAATAGATAAAATGGATCTACCAATAGCTTATTTCTCAAAAACACTTGTAGGAGCGGAAAATAATTATGATGTAACAGAAAAGGAGTGTTTAGCAGTAATTTACGCTTTATAAAATTTTAGACCATTTTTGTACGGAAGAAAATTCGTATTATCGTGCGATCATGAACCTTTAAAAATCATAATTAACGCAAAAAAGCCTACAGCTAGAATGACAAAATGGTTACTAAGGTTGCAGGATTATCAATACGATTTTGAATGTAAACCGGGCAAAATAAATCGCTGGTTAAGAGGTTTATCGGAAAACCCAACGCTAGGAAAATTAGAAAATCCAAATGAAGAAATTGCCACTACTGGTGAAAGTAGTGATAGTGAGGTTAGGTCAGAAAATTTTGATTTAGAAGAAAAAGTAGAAGTAAAGGAAATTAAGGCTTTCTCAATAAGCAGTGGTGCCAGTGGCTTAAAATTGAGGGCAATTCAAGTTTTAAATAAACTTTTTGATAAAAATAAAGAGAAACATAAATCAACTAGTGCGACAAGAAAAAAAACGTCTGAGGCAGGTGTTTCAAAGCCTAATAGAACGAGAGCCACATCAGATTCTTCTGCAATTGTTGGACCCGCTAAAGACATTCCAATTAAACCCAAAAGAGGTAGTCCAGTAGGAAAAACCAAACCTAAAGAAACAGTCCCCATTACAGACAACGGACCAATAGCAACTAGACTTAGACCAAGAGCAAAAGCACAAATACCCGTCGCAAATACTGAAACTATAGAAACCTTTCAGGAACAACTAACTTCAAGTAGTGACGAATTTAGTGAAGAAGAATCTCTCGTAGAACCTCAAGAGATACCTATACCTAAACAAGACTATAGTGTCTTACCCTCCTTAAACGAGACTCGTTTAGATACAGAAAGTGAAGAATCAAGCGATGAAGAAAATTCTCAGGACATAGGGAACCCTTTGACAGAAATTGAAATAGAAATATACATGATCCCTACAATAGACACTTCAGATGACGAAGATGACGAAAATGACGTTACTATTAGCGAACTAAACAATGCTAGAAAATCTCCCGACAAGGAAATGATAAACAGTATCAGAAATTCGATTAAAAAATTTGATTCATCTTTGTTAGAACACCAAAGCTATTTTTGGGACAACGAAATGTTCGAACAAAACGAATTAAATAAAGATGACACTATGCACTACCCAATTCAACAAAGAAATGATCTCGAAAATGAGTTAAGGGAAGAAGGGGTTGCAATAGATAGCATCATTTCGGAATTACGAGAAATAACAGAACAAATCAAAAATCCCTCTTTTGATTCCCCAAGTTCCTCTCAGTATCCCGACCAAACAATAACAGTAAACGAAAAGGGACCTGATACAACAGAAAATAAAAAAATAGTTACATTTGACACTCCTTTATTTTTTAACAAACCCAAAGCCCAATCAACCCCTTTCATACCCAATTCTATTCTAGAAGAAACAATAAAAACCGCAGAAAATGAACAAAATAAAGAGCGTAAAATACCTAGAAAACTAATCGAAAACCAAAATACAATGGTAACAGAAGAAACCCAACGAAAAACCCAAAATGACATAGGAATAGGTTTAGCAATTCCTTTAATAAATGACATCTGTTTTTCGCAAGAGAAACCAAGAAGAACAAATAAAGAATTTATGTTTCATAGTTCGGAAGTGATAACTTACGACCGCGAAGCCATTACTAGTAAAAGAGATAACTACGCACATTTTATGTCAAGAGACATCGAACCTAGCACGTCTATTTCCAAACTAATGGCAGCAATAGAGGGTATAGATTTAATAGATATTAAAACAAAAAAACCTAAAATAG